AACACACAACTGCATGTTCTTAGGTGATTATTTATGTTTAAAAACACTAACACAAACACCGGTTTCCTTTTTTCAATAATCATCAACACAAGGCTCAGCAATTACGGCTTTGGGAAGGAGTGGACAGAGTTTTTCAGGACAGGAGGCAGTTCAGTTCTTATTTCACTGCATCCACAGGTGATGTAATGGGAAAGAAAAGGTGAAATTTTGGCAAAGGTTGCAGGGGAAGACCAGTACCTTTATGGAAAGTCCCACAAAGATTCTAAACAAAGACTGAAGCACAGGGTGGATCTGGAATATCAGTATTGACCAATGCCTGAAATTACATTTGGGAAATTTTTAAAACCCTTTCAAAAAGAGTCATATTTAGAAAATGGCAAAGAGCACTCTTTGCACAGAGTGACTTTCCACATAATGCCGTGCTTGAACAGAGAGGTTAGTGCCAGACCGGCAAGAGGTATTTCCAACCCGAATTATAACATGACTAGTTTAATTTAATATGACTTTTAAATGAAGTTATAGTGAAATATTATTGTAGAAAATATGCAAATAGAAGATGCCAACTTCACAAACTACTGGGATATAGGAACTTAGTAGGAAAGTAATAGGCCATATTTTTGAAGATTAGTTTAAACAATGTTTCCTTAATTCTCTTCTTTAGCAGAATATGATGAATTTAGCAGGTGTTAGAAAATGCTGGCTATAGATCCACAATGGAAGGACTGCCTGCTGGATTTTTGTGTTGAATATTTTTAACTTTAAGGAAATGGATTCCCATAAATGCAGTTTATTGCAATAGATATCACTAGGCAGAGTAAGAGCTGGCCCTGCATCCAGTATGACTTTGCCACTGACTCCAGTGGAATCTGGACAGGCCCTTAATAGACTTTGCCACTGCCAGGTTAATGTTAGTGTGACTCTGTGCCTAGAGAAGTAAAATGAACTTTTATTGTCTGTTTAAATATAAGCTTCTTATCTGGCAGCTTAGCAATACATCTGTACTGCTCTTCCATGGTATAAAAGTTCCATAATTGCTTCTGGCTGAGTTATTGAACAATATATGCTGATATCCTGTGGATAAGATAGGTGCTATAAGATCAAGATCATCATAGACCATAAGTTAGGGGTGGTGACAACCAGAAAGAAGGAGAGAAAGCCTGACAGGGCAATTAAAAACTTGTGTCTCTAATGCACAGTATTCCAAGGAGAAAGAGAAACTGCAAAACATACTGGAAGAGTTCATATGGGTTCAGATGAGGGCTTTAAGGAGTTGGTGTGAAATTCTTCCATTAGAATTAGGGCATCTGTTCTCAACTAGACTTTTGTTTTGTTTTCTGCAAATACTTACCCACAACATTAACAGAATCTAAGAACCAGGATATTAATGTCAAAAACACTTGTCATCAATCAAAAAGAACAACTGAGTGGCACTGTGAATAGATTAATAATCTGGAACTATTTTTTTTTCCATTGCACAAAAGCAGATGGGAATCTGCATAATATTTTGAACTCCAGCAAATTGAATTTACCTCCTGCTAGAAACATTTACTCAAATAATTCTGGGCACTTCTTTACTTAAAAACAACTTTGGGGAAATAAATACCAGTAAATTTATCCAGCAAGTTTGTCCAGTGCAAGGAATCTGTATTCAAAGTCTGAAGAGGTCTGTGAGACTCCCCATGTGAATGCAGATTACCCACCGAAGCTATCAGCCTGCCAGGCTGTGGGCAGGTTGCCTGGCAGCTGCCTTCCCTCTCACTGTCCCAGCTGCCAGGTAACAGATCAGCTTGTGGGGCTCTGGACTGTGTTATGAAACCACCAGTGCCTCCTGTTTAATGTCCTCATGCTTTGTCGAAGGAGTTGCCCAGGGTTTCGTGCTGTCCCTATCCTGCATTATACATCTTATTTTAAAATTGTGTTCTTTCCTGCCAAGGGGAGGTTTTCAGGGATCACCCATGCAGCATAAGGAGAGCTCTTCAGTTCCAACCCAGGACTGGTAAGTCAGAGATACTAAAGTAATGTCTTTGTACAACCCTTAATTACAGGGGGGCTTTATGGGTCGAGCTTACAGAGAACTCATTGACCTTTGAAGCTCAAAAGAGAGTGGGTGACTTTATTTGCAGTTCATATCAACGGGATGAACTTCCCTCCTTCATCACTGTGGACCAAAGGAAAAAAAAACGCTGCAATGGGAAGGTGCTTTTGTGTCTTCTCTTAATTTATCAACCCATCAAGGCCAGGCCCTGAGAAGCTACTAAATCCACATTACCTCTCTCCTAGATAAGGTAGAAACAACTGTTTACAAAGAAAATAATATTTCCAGAGAGCAGGAAGTCAGATGTAGGTAGTTTTGGGCAGAAAACCAAGCTGAGTTAGCTGCAAACTGTGGAAAATACAGTCACTGGCCATGTAGCTGACAGTGAGTCATTTTGGTCATTTATCTGGGCTGACACTTTGGCGTGCAGTAACCTGGTTATTGCCACAGCTTGACGTTCTGCATGCAGCTTCTTATTACTGAATCCTGCCAACCTGCTCAGAGCTGGACAAAGTTACCCTGGAAGGGTTTGAAGTGGGAAAAGCCTGGTGGTTTGGCAAGATAGGGCTGGATCAATACTTTATGCAGTTGGTTTGTCATTGGGAAAAGACTGGAGGCAGGAAGCAGAATAGCTGCTGACACAGGCAACTCTGCACGGTATAGAAAGCTTGGCATGGGATAAACTGGGAAGTGTACAGGGCCTCCAAGGAGGAGCCTTGTATGCACAGTGCTGACCTTCATGCCAGTCAGGCTCACCAGCGATGGCCTTGCTTTCATTTTTCCCTCCATTCTGCCTTCCTTTGGCTCAGCTCAAGTTAAAATGAGGCACAGAGACTGCATGGCAGCTAATGAGTTATATTCATCTGCTACAGGCTGAGAGCCAGAGGCTGTGCCTGATAACTGAGGAAGTGTTCCTGCTGCTCAAGGACACTGTTTCTAATGTTCCTAATATTTCCCCATTTGCTGATATCTTCACCAAAAGGGTTCTCAAGCACTGGAACAGGCTACACAGGGAAGTGCTTGAGTCACCATCCCTGGAGAGGTTTTACAGACTTGTAGATGTGGCACTGAGGGACACGGTTTAGAGGTGGGCTTGGAAGTGCTGGGTTAAAGGTTGGACTTGATTATCTTAAAGATCTTTTCCAACCTAAATTATTCTATGATTCTAAGTAATTTGAAATTTTTAGTCCCTCTAGTCTGTAATATATTTGTGAATATTTTGTTCTCATTCTCTCTGAACTTTATTTTTGTTATTTTTTTGCCCCTCTACCTTTTGCCTCCTTCTCTCTTTTACTCATGCTGGCACAAAGTTCTTCCAGCTCCTACAAAACTCAGTCATCCCAGAGGCTCCAAAATCCATGGTGAGCGGAAGCCAAGCAGGGCTGTCTACATTCCTGCAAGCCCAGGGCCTGGGAGATGACGTGGATGTGTGGAGTGCTAATAAATAGGGAACTATTAGTGACTGTGTAAAGCATGAAAATTGCAGAACAAGATAAGACTCACAGAATTCCCTTAAACTGATTTTGGATAAGGATATTTACCAAGAGGGAAATAAAGGTTATCCTTAGAAGCAGTGCTCTCTCTCCAGCCATGTGTGTGCTTGCACAGGCGCTGCAGGGTGTGGGAAAGGCAGCAGGACCGTGTGTGGGGCTGTCTGTGTGACACACACTCGCTCCCTTGCACCCTGCCTGGTACAGAAGTCGCTTTCCAGCCTCCCAGCCCAGGCTGTGGCTTGGGGTGGCTGCTCCCAGCTCTGAGGCCAATCTGCACCACGCCTGCCAAACCAAACACCCCATGTAGCTCCAGTTGGGCCCAGGAGATGTGAAAACCAGTGCAGTGGCTGGGAGAAACTCAGTGGAGCAGTTTCTCTAACAGGTCTAGCAACTGCAAGGCTTTATTACCTCCTCCTGTCCTCTTCAGAGCAGAGATCAGGCCAGATGCCTTGATCTTAGCAGATCCAAGGAAGCTGCTTTGCCCTGAATTGCATGTCCAGGTAGCTGAGCACTGCTGGGGCAGGGCTGATCCTGCTGATCAAAACCAGGAGGCTCTGGTGTGTGCCAGCCTTCCCAGGACATAGTGAGTGCATGGACTGGTGCTGGTGCATCAGCCCACATTTACCTATCAGTGTTTCACATTCCCTAAGCTTTATTGCTGCAGACACAGCAGGAAAGACAGAACTGCCTGAAAATAATGTGGCTTTTGTGGTAATGGTGTGTGGGACAGGGCAGAGATCAGAGGAACTCCTTGTAATGGACAAGAGGAACATGAGGAACCGCAGAGACAGGGCAAACAAAAATCAGTCTAGGGTGGTTCAGGTTCCTGTCGTCCTGCTGTGGGACACAAGACAAACTAGTAACCCTCTCCAAAGCACTTTCAGCCTTATCTGCTACTATTACTGTTCCTCTGTTTTTTGCAGGAAAGCACCTCTTAGTGCTGGTCATGCTGGGATTCCTCTTCTTTCCCATCTGTGCAGAAGCCCAAACAGCACGCAGAGTGCAGCTACAGTGCAGGGAGCAGCTGCAGGATGTGGGTACAATGAGGTTAACCTCATTTCCAGCCCCATAAGTGGTGTTTAGCTCCATCCCCCTGGCACAGGAGCATGGATTAGTCCTCCAGGCAGCAGCATGCGGAGTGTTGGATCCAGCTGACAGAAATGTTTTCTCCTTCCTGACCCCACTACTGTACTCCCTGTGCTTAGCTCTTGCTGTTCTAGTTTTTGCTGATCTAGACGTGTTAAAATTAATTTTTCTCTTGGTGCCTGACTCTAGGCAAGGTTATTAGGTAGCTGGGTCACTGCAGCATGTGGTTGGAAGCTTTTGCATTGGGCTGAAGGTTGGTAACTCACTAAACACCCAGTAGTATTTTGATGAGTAATCAGCACCAAAACTCCTGCAAGCTTCATTTTAAAAGCAAGGCATATTTTATTCAAAGAGAACAAGAAAATGGATTTCCATGTTGTAAAATGATTGGCTGTCATGTGGCAAGAGTTCAGCTCATTCTCCCTCTGGTCTGCGTTCTGGAATCATCACCACACTTTTTTCCAGTAGTGCAGAAAGTCTTTTCCATATGCCTTCTCTTCAGCCAGTAGTCTGTAGCTCATGTTTAATGTCTCCTAGGCAGGAGGAGAAGAGGACAAACCAACAGCTCTACTGTGATGACAAGGACTGTAGAAAATGTAAAACCTTTCTCTAGAAGCAGCCATCAGCTCTGAAAGCAAGCCCAGCCCTACAGACAGTGCTTCAACGCCTCCAAGGATTGTTCAGCCTTGGGACAGTCTGTGAAAGGAATTTGCAGAAAGCTTCTGTGTCCCAGAAAAACCTCTTTGGCCGGAGCAGGATTGTACCTCATCCTGGCTGAGGGAAGAGGGTTCAGCAATGAAGAAGCTGCAAAATGTTAAAAATTCATTTGGATATATAATTGTTTCTGAATTCATAACAAAACGTGTTTTGCATGGATATTCACCTTCATGACACTGAAGAGCATTTGTGCCAATTGAGATGGGTGAGCAGAATCCTCATCTTCTGCACTTACGTGTCTTCATCACAGGACTTTTAACTGGACACTGTCCTGGCATTTCACATCCCAGCCTCACAACAGTCTGCAGGTTTTGACCAACATTCTCTATAAAAAAAAAGTCACTTACTGAAAAAGGACAGTAAACAGCTCATAAAAAGTGTTTCTCAGCATCAGCTTCAGACAGGAATTCCTCCCAGAAGCCCATCTCGCTCTTTTTGTTAGACCTGATAGGGACGTGCGGGATAGAAGGGAATTCATAGCTGCAACGTGGCTTAAATACAGAAGAAAATAATACTCTTGTGGAACAAAAATATTCTCTAGTGGGCTGGGAACAGGCAGAATTAGAATACAGGCTGTGTTGTCCTCCAGCAAGGGCACTCCACATCCTCCTGCTTCTGCAGCGGGCACTGAAGATCTTTTAAGGGTGGCAGATGAGAGCAGTGAGAGACCCTCAACTCCCACGCATGGAGGATACCTGAGGGGCCTTGGCCCCACTGATCTGTACAGAAAGGGCAAATTGGTTCTCAGAAGAGTGCTGTGGGCCCCTGCTCACAGCCATGCTAAGCCAAGGACATTCCCCAGACCACCTGCCCCAGGCATTTTATCACATGAGGTTTAAGGACTGCACCTCTCTTGGGTCCCTGCCCCAGCAACCACTCCAGCAGAAGAGCCCATTAACAATCCAGCTAAGGGGTGGATAGTCCAAGACATTTCCAAGGGCCCCACTTGCAGGAGAGATGGCCATGTGGTCCCCAGTGTGCAGCCCAGCTCCATGTCCCCAGGCACCGGAGCTGCCTCCCAGGGTGGTGTCTGCAGTTACAGCCCTGCCAACCTCAGCACTGCCTGTGCTCCAGATGGAGGCAAAACAGCGTTAAGAGCTACCAGCACCAAGTGCCCCAGATGGAGTAGGGAGTTCCTCTGATGGACAAAGTAACACATGGAGATCTCATCTCATTTTAATCTTGGCAGTGTGAAGAGTTTTGTTCCCTTCTTACCTTTTTTTGTTGTTGTTTTAGCATTATTTTTACTTACTTTTCCCATTTTTTATGTTCCATCCAGACCAACTTCAACTGCTGTGACAGCCATGAATAAAAGGCACTTCTAGAAGTAGGGCAAGCAACATTTGGTTTTAGTTTTGATTTTGTCCCAAATATTTTTACAATTGACTTAGTTTTTGTGTTCACACATGTATCTCATAAGAAATCTGAGAATGAAGCACTGCCAAAGGCATTAACACATAAAAACATTTTTCAGCCACTAAATATTCCCTCCTGATCTGTGAAAAGAGTTTTTTTTCCAATCATTATATGATTATGGTCCATCATATTGGTACTGGAAGAAAATCTGAGGTAGCTTTCTCTGTCACATAGCTGCTAATATACTTGCTTTATCTTTTGAAAAATACTTTTTGTGGTGGTGATGACTTCAATACTGTCTGATGGATTTCAGGCTGGTTAGCCATGAGGGCAGCTTGGAAAACCTGACCTTGTTTACAAATGATTGTTAAGACCTGTGTTCAGCATGGATTCAATGTCTTTATTAATGCAATTACTTAAAAGATTTTATTAGAAGAGCTGCCTTAAAAAGAGTAGGAAATCACACACTGTGAGAGGTCCTGATGAGCTCCCTGGTGAGGCTGGCTTCCCGCTGTCCTGCTGATCTGGACTTGCTCTGCCAGCTGGGACACCTTCCTGATTTCTTTTTTTACTGCAGAGCCTCCATACTGAGGGTGCTGCTGTGAGCACACAGGTCCTGCTCACATTCACTGACTTGCTCTAAAAAGCGATACTGGCTCATCTGAGCTGGGATGTTGTGGTGGGTTTACCCTGGCTGGATGCCGACACATGCCAGGTGCCCATGAAAGCTGTTCTGTCACTCCCCTCCTCAACTGGACAGGGGAGAGAAAATATAAAGAAAGGCTCATAGGTTGAGATAAGGACAGGGAGAGATCACTCAGCAATTACCATCAAGAGCAAAACAGACTCAGCTTGGGAAATTAGTTTAGTGTGGGATCCCTTCCACGGGAAACAGTTCTCCATGAACTGTTCCAATGTGAGTCCTGCCCATGGGCTGCAGTTCTTCACAGACTGCTCAGGCTAAGTCCCTCCCACAGAGTGCAGTCTTTCAGGAACAGGTTGCTCCAGCGTGAGTCTCCCGTGGGGTCACAAGTCCTGCCAGCAAACCTGTTCCACAGGGCCACAGGTCCTACCAGGAGCCTGCTTCAGCAGGGGGCTCCTGTGGGGTCACAGCCTCCTTCAGATATTCACCTGCTCCAGTGTGGGGTCCCCCATGGGCTGCAAGTGGATCTCTGCTCCGCTGTGGACCTCCATGGGCTGCAGGGGCTCTGTCACCATGGACTTCACCACGGGCTGCAGGAGCGTCTCTGCTCCGGCACCTGGAGCACCTCCTGCCCCTCCTTATGAGCTGACCTTGGTGTCTTTGGAATTGTTTGTCTCAAATATTCTCATTCCTCCCTCTTCACTGCTATTGTTCCACTGCAGTTTTTTTTTACTCCTTCTTAAATACGTTACCCCAGAGGTGCTACCACTGTCACTGTTGGGCTTGGCTTCGGCCAGCAGTGAGTCCACCTTGGAGCCGGGTGGCATTGGCCCTCTTGGCCATAAGGGAAGCTTCCAGCAACTTCTTGCAGGAGCCAGCAGTGTAGTCCTCCTGCTACTAAAATCTTGTCATGCAAACCCAATATAGCTGCAGAATTGTGTTTCTGTTTCACTGAATCACAGGTCCTGGCTCACCCTTTTGCACTGCTCTGCTATTGCCTCTGGATTCTAAACAGCAACAAATATCAGCAGACCAGCCCTTCTCATAAAAGCTGGGTGTAAGCTGCATGATGAATAGTAAACTTCTCCCAAAAGGTCAGCTCTGCTGAATGACAAAGTGTGGAGTCAGGTCAAACTCAGCAAACACCCCAGATCCTGAGGAATACAAATTCTAACCACAGATTCAAATGTAATATTTTAAAGCATGACTGCTTGACACTTCTTTTTGAATGAGAAGTTAAACACTTAAAGGAGACTGCAAGTATTGAAAATCTTCAACTCAGTGCAAAATGATTTATTCGTTTTTCCTCCAGCTGTAATTTATCCTTTTCCTGTTCTGTTTTCCCAGCCAAAACCTTATTTTCCCACCCTGTTAACTGGGAAAAAGAATCTAAATTCCCCACTGGGGACCAGCCTCACAGACCTGGGAGCTGGAAGATGTGCTGTGTGTAACATAGTAAATAAACCCTTTGCCCTGCAATTCAAATAATCCTGTAACAGTTTTACATCTCCAGCTGGGAGGAAGGTTTTTTTCGCACACATCCAAATTTCTGGTGCATGCACAGTTCCTCAGGTTTAAATCTCAGCTTTAGACTGTGGCATCTTCTTCTTGTCATGATAATAATCTCTAAGTGAGCAAAACAGAATTCTTAATGCTTCCGCTATCAAGTCCCACCCTTACTAATGCCATGCAGCTGCAGGATATTCCTCTCAGCACAGCACAACTTTTTTTGTTAAGGCTTGCAACATTCTGCATGATTTTTAAAATTTTGAACCCTCCTTGAACAGTGTCACCTCCTTGAATCCACTGCTGTGTCTATCTGCCACCTTTCCCTCATTATTTAGAGTATTTAGATGTTTTGGGATAATGACCATGTCCAATGCCCACATGCCATCTAACACGGTGGGTGCTGGTCCACACGTGGGATTTCTCAGAAGCAGTAGTGACATCACCAAGGGATACAGGAGGGTGATGGGCTGTGAAAGGCCATGGCAATGAAAACCCATGTTTCCTGAAGACAAGCCCCTGGGTGACAAATATGCTGTGATCCAGATGACCTTCAATGAGAGCTTTTCTTTCTGGACACAGATGCACCAGGGGCTCAGTCCCTCTGTCCCAAAATGCCCTTTGTGATTTGCCCTTGGTGCCACGTGTAGCTCTGCCTTATCAGTGTGGCTGATGCCTCACCCTGTGATAGATCACTCAGCTCCCAAGGAGACCTCCTTCCGGGTGGGAACTGCCATGAAACTCCGGAGAGAAAAACTTTGATCTTTATCAGCATGAAAATAAAGACTTCTTGGAGGCCACCATTCCCCACACTCCCAGCTGCTCTGCCCAAGCAGAGCTGCAGCCATTGCCAGCAGTGCTGGGCATGCCAAGGGAGCTCTAACACGTGGCTGGGGGGATTAGGAAGACACAACTGTTGAGACAACAGCCTGAGTTGGTTGAGTCCTGGATATAGCAGCTGCCTGTGATGTGGGCAGTCAGGGTGGCTTATGGAATCACCTGTTGAATGGGGGTCCTTTCTCTCAGCACTCTTGCACATCCACTTGTGTGCAAAACTGATTTTCAGCCTCATTATTATTATTATAAGCATAATTTATTCACACTAGGGTGTAGTATTTCCTCACTTGCTGTATGAAAACCTTTATTCAGCTGGGGGCAGTTCATACTCCTGCTTGCACCTACATCTGCTTTCTCCTTCCTTTTCCTCATACAGTGCTCAGTGTGGAAGAAAACAGACAGTGGGAGAAGTCACACATGGTTGGTCCATGGCCTGTTTTAGCAGGATGGTTGAGATTCAAGGCTGCAGTTTTGTCTAAGGGACCACAAATGCAGATCTACCCAACAGGATCCCAGCTGTCAGCAGATCCTCCCCAGGTTCTCCTTTACTGCTTCTCTGGCCTTGACCATGAAGTAGTTGATCCGAGCTGCTCCCTGCTTGCTCCAGCAGCCCTCTGTGAGCCCACAAGCTGCCAGGCAAACACCCATTGTTTAAATTTTATTGCCTGTGCTATCGCTCTCCTGGCAGGGCAGTTATCTGGTGTACGTATAATACACCAGCTTTCCTGTAGAGCTGCCCATGTTTGTGGTTTTGTCAATGAGGACTCTCTTCTGTGACATTGACATTTCTGTACCCTAAACAGGCATTTGCAGAAGGATCAGGGATGGCAATATTATGTGCTGAGGGATCAGGAAGGAGAATTAGACAAGCCATCAATGCAGACATTGAAGCTTCCACACATCAGCCTGCTGGTCTGTATCTTTATATTGCCGCTTTTGGCTGTCCCTAATGAGATGGAGGCAGGCTTTAAGTGTGTGATAAAAACCCATCCTAAACTGAGCAGTGTCAGGAATCCACCAAAGTGCAGAAAGCAAAGGAACCACAAAGTAAGGAATCTTACTGTGCCACAATACATCTCCAAAACACTTTGCCAAGCTCAAAATCTTCTGAATCCTCAGAATTTCTCTTGCAAAGTAAGGATGCTTTCAGAAGTGACAGCTGATCTGTAGTGGCAAAGAACAGCAACCCACTCAGCTGGGGGTGAGAGCTGGAGCTGCTCTCCTGCTGCCCTGGCATGCGGGAGGTTGGGGATGGGGGCCAGGCTGATTGCAGATGTTCTCTGACCGAGAAGATATAAAGTGATATAGTGATATAAAGATACATTGGTGATATAAAATTCATGATATAACAGAACTGTGACCCCATCTGCCACTGGAGTACTTCCAAGAAAGGTATGAAGGGTATCGCAGGTCCGTGGCCTTGGCTCTGCCCAAGGTGAGATGTGCAAGAGGACCTGATAAGGTCAGATTGGTTCTTTCACAAACAAAAAAAAAAATCCATGAAGGGAAAGTGTAAGCATCCTTCCTTTCTCGTAAGTGAAACCTTGATACTGGCACTCAGGGGCTCCTCAGGTTCCTGCAGCTCCATGAGCCTGCTTTGCCACAGCCCTTGCCCTCAGGGCTCAGTGTGGCTGCCTCCACGGTCACAGTGCTGAACATGCTTTTTCTCAGCTGGTAGGGGAGAAAATGTGCTGGAAAGCAGAGATAAAGGTTTCAAATTCAAAGAGCTCAAGGCAAATGAGAACACTGGGGGGAGAAACACAAAATGTACAAAAGGTGCACCTACTGTACCCTCGAGCAGGCACAGAGGCAGGAGTGTTTATCAGCTCAGGAGTCAGAGTCAAAACAAACCAAAAAGAGAACAGGTCTGGGTTAGCAAGACAGGGAGGAGAAAAATATTTAATCTTGAGCAATCAGAAGCATTTTGTTAACCTGAACATTGCAGTGTTTCCTAACCCTGTATTTACCTCCCCTTATACTTACAGTTACTTGTAATGGAAAAAATGCATTTAAAAATCTTCCATTAGACTTTCAAAGAGTTACAAAGGTCCTCAGGTGGAATGAAGGGAAAAAAGAAGATGTTGAAACAAACATGTTTTTCAGCTGTACCTGTTGTCAAAATCTTGAGTAACTTCGGCTCTCCCCAGATGCCTTTGTGCACTCATTTTGTGAAGGGGAGATGTGAGAACTACTCATGGGCAGCAGCTCAGGGTCTATCCAACAGAGGAGAAAATCATTAAAGAGTTTAAGAAGAATGAGACAGCTCAAGCCTGTACCTGTGCCCTGGTGTGCATGTGATCAAACAGGTTCCTGACCGCACTGAACTGATTGCATATTTGTTATGAACGTACAACCAACCAACTGCAAATAGCAGTGGGTGCCAGAGTTCATTAACCTCTGCATCTGGCAAGGGCTCATACTTGATAAGCCCCCTCTGTCTTGGTTTTTGGACTATCCAGCACTGGATGCAGTGATGGGAAAACAGAGCCTCCTTGCCATGGAGCAAGACGGGCTCAGCACCTCAGAGGCTGTTGGTGCCGGGGTGACTCAAGATTGTGCTGAGCAGGGGAGCCTGAGGGTTTTGGCCTCTATGTTTTTTAGGGCAGGATGGTGCAAGACATACCTTTTGAGGCCAAATCACCATTTGAGTGTTTAACTGGGACTTGCCCCTCAGCACTTGCAAAGTCAGGGACACCTCAGCCAGGGCAGTGCTGAAACAAGGGGCGAAGGACATGACATATTGACACCCATGGCCTTTGCTTCCCTCCTCTCTGCCAGGGCACCTCCCAGCCTGTGGACTTTGTAGTGTGTTTTTGCATGTTCCCTGTATTTGGACCTCAGTGTACAGTACTTTACCCCCTGTTCTGAAAAAAAACTTTTCCAACAGCTAAAGCATGAAGCAAACAACGATTTAAGGGGGATCTTCCATTCCTAAGAGTTTTGGAGAGCAGTTTGAGATTCATGAGTTGACTACCCAGAATATGAATGAGAAGAACAAGCATGACCATGTACGGGGCTCCAGCACAGCAGATCCTGGTACAACAGGTTTTTTCTGCATCCCTTCCCAGAGGTATTGCCCCTGTCAGCCATGTATCCCCAGGACCCTGGTGCCTGGTGGGGAGCACTCTGTGAAGATGCCCCACCCTCCAGTGACAGCAGTGACAGTGGCTCGTTTTTTGGAGTCAGCATCTACCCCAGCAGCAAAGCTTCAGATAAATTAGAAAAGCAGTGTCAGCCTTAGAAAAAGAGTGTCCCTCAGCTAGTGTGACAGTCTCAATTTGGACTTAGCCTTGGACTGTGTCCACTGCAGGGCAAAGAAAGTCAAGCCTTAAAAAACCTTTGTAATGGCTTTTTATATCAGACACCCTTTGATCCTGATAAGATTTTACGTTTATTGTATGCTAAGTGCCAGAAGTTCTTTGAACCATTATCTTTCTGTTTCAACACCACCATTCAGCAGGAGGGCAAACTTCTGCAGGCTGTACTGAGGTGGCAGAGAGGAGAAATCACCTGCAGCAGTGCCTGTCTCTTCCTCCCATTTGACACATCAATCCTGGGAGCACAACCCATGGGCAGGCTCCCACGTAGTGGGGAGCTCCCACACTCCTGTACTGCTGCTGGACAACTGGCCCTCAGAATCCAACACATGCACAAACCTGGGACACAACCCAAGCACTGCCATCCAGTTTCTGCTTGTGCAGTCTGAGAAGCTTTTCCTGCCGTGTCCTTCCTTCCCTGTAGAGAAGGTACTATGTGATGACTGTGGCTTCTATTGTAAATAGAATACAATACTACCTTTACAAAAATACCTTATTGTAAATAAGGTATCTGATCCCCAAAACGACATGCATGTGCAGCTAAATAAAGATGCACTCTGTGCTGTTTAAAGTGGATCTTCCCGATAACATAGGTTGGCTTTTGGACCAGAAACACAGGTGAGCAATGCCCTGCATAGCACCCAGGACCAAAACAGATGACTCCTTGCAGTCTTTGCACTCCTGATGCTGCCAGACAGTAGGTGAAGACACCATGTTCGAGGAAATTGTAGCCTGATGCTGTGATGCTGTTTGGACCTGGGCCACAGTACCAACAACCTGCACAGTCCCTACTCAGAATATCCCCAGCAGCCATTATCATTCCTGCAGTTCAACAGGAGCCACTCTGAGCTGAGGGTGAGAGCTGGTGAGTGCTGCCTTCTCCTCTCTAATGCTGCAAGGGTCTCCCACAGCACAACAGAGAAAGCTGGAGGTCCAGAAGCACTGCTTGGCCTGATGCTGTGCAGAAAGACCACATGACTTTCAGGTTGCTGATGCTGAACGTCTCAGAGCAGTTATGATGCTTTCTCCCTTCATCTTTCTTTTGTAACTATACTTATTGTTTCCATTTAAGTAAGAATCTCCCTGTTACTCAGCATAGCCAGAAAAATCAAACACGTGTATCTGAGAAGCAAAGGCCTGATTCCTCTGTAGGATTTTGGATGCCAATGGTAGCAAATCAGTGGCATTTTCCCAAAATGAGCTGTCAGAATGAGGACCGAGCAGCAGCCTGTTTCAGCTGCGCCTGTGATTCCTTTGTTATGATTCACCTTCCACAAATATCCAAATAAACAAGTTTGCTGCCAGGAATATTCTGGTGAGAGGCAAAAAGCTGCAAATAAAAGTCACTGAACTCTCACTCTGAATGAAGAAATCTCCTCCTGACAATGTAATCACAGAAGGTGCCCTGGCTTGTGCCTCACGACTCCCTGTTCTGGAGGCAGGTACCTGCACCACGTGCTTGGCACAGTGCACAGTCACACCAGGAATATTCACAGCGCTTTTTGGCACATCTCAAGGAAATGCATGTTTTTCCTCTGTGCTGTCTTTTTGAATCCTTACACAGAAAAGTATCATTAAATGCTGTTTCAATTTTCTCCTTGTTTTTGCTGGTCCTGGTATCTTGAAGCAGAGTATTTTCTTGCCAGGACTTTACCTCCACAACAAGGATTTCTCCCTTATCAGACACTTCCACAGCCTCTTTTATTTCCTTATAAATTCTGTGTTCCTAAAGAAGATAGCCAATTTCATAGCTATAGAGTCAGTACATCTGGTGATTTCAGTAGGTCCATGAATATTTAGTGTTGCTATTACTTATGTGGACAAAATCCTTAGAATTTTTGTGCATTTTATATAAGCCAAGATAATTATTTTTATTCAGACTGAATAGAGTTTTTGGCTTAGGTGTCAACAGTATCATCAAGACAAAGTACAGAGTCCCTCCCCAGGATTTCAGCATGTGCAGCAGTGCCAGGCTTACAGTGTGACAGCAAAATGTGGCCTCTTTACCCTGAGGGAAGCCACCACAGTAGTGTCTGCAAAAATTCAGTACAGCTGCATGAGATAACAGCTTGCAAAATATTTGAGATTCTGAAATATATCCAGAAGACAACTGCTTTGGACAGGCTGACAAATGAGTGTGTTACCCTCTGTCCTTTAGCAGATCTTGTGACATATATTAACTCCTGTCAGAAATGGCTCAGGGCCCATCCCCTGGGCATAATGCTCTAATTTCTTGGGGTTATGCATGCAGAAGTCCAAGGCCTGGAGCATACATAGCTTGAGGCACACGGTGGTCTGCTGGTTCTACACCCAGCTACAGCCATTGCACAGGAAAGGGGTTCCATGGAGAGTGAAAAGAGACCAGAGAGAGAACCCTCCCCCAAATTCAGAGCAATAGATTGTTACTTTTTCTCCCTCTTAAAAAAGAGTTCTCTGAGTATTTCTGGGCTTGGGCTGTCTGTGTGCTTGCATTAACACATGGTTAAGCTACTACTTAACAGGTATTCTAGAAAAAGAAAAGAAAATACAGCTGCCAAGATATTTTTAAGTGCACTTAACTGTCTAAATCCTTCTGCTAAAGCTAAGCTCAAAACTAAAACTATTCCTTCCCATTCTGTCCAGACAGTGCACACTTTCAGGATACAGAAATAGCTCAGCATCCCTTTTCAATAGTTTATGAGTTGTCAATTGATGCTCACTGTGTTCTGTGTTTAGAAATCATCCAGAGCAGCAGGATGTATGTACCAGGCCCAAGAAGCCTGTTTTATTTCCTACACGTTGCTATTTAGACCAGCTGTGCTTGTGAAATTTCCTCACATTACTGCTATTGTGCAAATAGCAAAAGGCACTGAAATGCTGTATTTCAGAAGGCTGCTAAATGACAATGTTTGAAGTCTTGACTGCAGAGTGAATCCTCTCTTATTTCAAATTCTGGAGCATTTCCTGGAGCTGTGTGGATGTTTCGGGAAATCATTAAAAGGAGCAGTTTTTGGGAAGGGAGGTGGCTCACAGGAGAATCTTTTTCTCCCAAACTAGTCCAGGTCTTGAGTACTTCTGAAGAAAGTGCAGTGTGTTGTTTGAGTCATGTGCTGACTGTTTTGCACTGTTTTGTAAGATATGTGCCCCAAGGACTGCCGTGAGAAGCCGATGCACTCTGGGAAGGGGTTTGCAGGAGCACCCACATGGACCCACCCAGCAGGGAAACCCAGAGTCCTTCCCTGCTGACAAATGGCACGAGGAGATAACACGCAGAAATAACGACCACGAAAGAAGCTGGGGAAGGGGCAGGAGCAGATAAACCTGTAGAGACACTGGACACCACCATCTTTCTACAAGAAGTTTGCATTTATATGTCAGTGTTGCTGGCCATAAAATGGTGGAAATCTATGAATAAAACATCATAATAACCATCACAGACTAATGCAGAAATAATTACTAGCCGGTTGTGGATCTGCTCGCAAGCCATGCACCTCCTTGCAGCCCAGGCTGTGGAGTTCAGCTCTGCTACTGGCTGCCCTGAGGGACAAATCCTGCTCTGGCTGCAGCTCCCCAGCCATGAGTCACACCTGCTGCTGTGAAGAGCAGAGGAAATTGTCTATTCCAAAGCTCTTGTAACTAAAAACTTATCTTTCACTGTGATTTGAAATATTCCAGGAAACTTATTTTTCCATACATAATTATTATTTGCCTTTATTTTAAATTTGATTAGAATGGTCAGTGTTTTCCAAAAATCAGAAATGTAACTGCAAAGGATGTTAAAAATATGAGTCTGTTTTCTCTAGATCTTCAGATTTGCTCCAAGATAACCATGTTCATTTGGCCAGACATCAAAATATTTTGATAAAAATCCAGAATTTCCCTTATCCTGCATTTCTAGTGAATTTTGACTGTTTAAACAG